TGATCTCTCCTCATATGATAACCAGGCACCATCCAAGTAACCCTCCTCTAAAATCCTTCCAACAATTCAATGTCTTTCCTAAGGTAAGGAGCCCAAGACTAAACACAATGCTCCAAATGACATAACCAGTGACCTATACAATTACATTATAACCTCTTTAGACTTGTATTCAATATTTCTGTAGATACAACCGAAAATCCGATTTGCCCTACCACTAGTAACAACACACTGCATGGATGGCTTAAAAGATTGATCAACCATTACATCAAAATACCTTTCTTTCATGACACTGTTAAGGTTATCCCCATCAAAATTATACTTGTATTAGACATGTATTATCTTGCATTTATTATAATTAAGACCCATCTGCCATTTATTCTAAATCCTTTTGTAAATCAGCAGCAACACCTAGACCATAATATCATCAGTAACTTTAAGTAATTTATTGACCATTTCTTCATCTGTGTCATTGATGTAAATCCAAAGGGCAAAGGTCTTACCACTGAACCCTGAGGTACCCCACTCCTGACAATTATAAAATTTGATTAAACTCCATTTATAGCAACCTTCTAACTTCTTCCATCCAGCCACTCTTCTATCCAAATACCTAACTCATTCCCCATACCTAAAAAGATCATTCTTTTACAAGGCTTTTATGTGGGACCTTGTCAAATGCGTTCTGAAAATTCAGATACACCAAATCTACACTCTTACCCTCATCTACATAAGCAGTAACCTTTTTTAAAGAATGTCAAAAGATTTGTAAGGTAAGATTTTCCCTTAGTGAAACCATGTTGAGTATCCAATAAAAATCTAAACTTTGTTAAATGACTTTGCAAAGTATCTTTTAACAAACTTTCCCCACAACTGATGTAAGACTAATGAGTCTATAATTACTGGAACAATTTTTATTACCTCCCTTGAAAAGAGGAGTTACATTAGCTAACTTCCAATCCTCTGGTACCTGCCCAATATTCAAGGACTGACAAAAAATAGTAGTAAGTGGCTTACATATCCAATCTTTAACCTCCTTCAAAACTCTTTGGGAAATATTATCTGGCCCATGAGCCTTATAGTTTTTAAAACTTCCCAATTTTTTCTTAACAAGCTCAGAATTATTGCAATGATATTGTCTGATCTTGTTTCCATCTATCAACTGTTCAAGATGAGGAATAATGCTTTAATCTTTGTTAGTAAAAACTGAAGAAAAAGCAGAATTTAATAAACAAGCCATCTCATAATCATCAGATACAAGCCTTCCTTTATTATCCCTCAAAGGTCATACCCAAATTCTAACATTTTGTTCACCTTTAACATACTTAGAGATAAATCCTTAATGTTTTTACATTTTCAGCCAACCTTGTTTTTTCATACATCCTTTTTGATATCCTAATTTTCTATTGACCAGCTCTTTTAATCTTCTAAATGCCCTGTCACACTAGTTTATTTAAGTTTCTTTGATTTTATCCCTTATACCCTTTGTGAACCAACCTGGTTTTTACGTTGCAGCCACCCTTTTCTTTCTAAGAGGAATGTTTATCTTGAATATTTAAAAATTTTCCATGTTTGATCAGTGTCAAATAACTAAGCTTCCCAATTCACAGACAGTTCTTGTCACATCCCTTCAAAATTTGCTTTTATGAAAATTGTAACCAAAATATCACTATTTCTGATTTCCATATGCACCACAACATCAAATCTAATTGAGCAATGATCACTTGCACCCAGATATTTCTCAATTTCCACCCTCTTAACAATTTCCATTTTAGAAGTTAACAATAAATCTAAAATAGCATTGTTTCTAGTAAATTCCTTGATTAATTGGTGAAGAAAGCAATCTTAAACATTTTCCAAAAACCTTTCTCCCTCATGGTTTTACTCTAGCATTTCCCAATCTATATGCCTGAAATGAAAATCATCCATAATTATGTCCTCATTAACAGCTGACATCTTAATCTCACTGTAAAGTTTCTCACTAATTTCATCAGTATCATCTGGTGGTCTGTAAAAAATTCCCACTAAAAGCCTTTTCCCTTTATATCCACTAATAAAAACTCGATTGGATTCAATCTCCTTGCTAATATCTTATCAGTTGAGACATTTACTAACAACTTCAGGAATACCTTGACTGTTGAGGCATTAACTAACAACTTCAGGAGTACCTTTACAGTTGAAACATTTACTAACAACTTCAGGTGTACCTTGACAGTTGAAACATTTACTAACAACTTCAGGTGTACCTTGACTGTTGAGGCATTAACTAACAACTTCAGGAGTACCTTGACAGTTGAAACATTAACTAACAACTTCAGGTGTACCTTGACAGTTGAAACATTTACTAAAAACTTCAGATATTCTTAGACAGCTGAGACATTTACCAAAAACTTCAGCAATTCCTAAGCGGCCTTGGTTGTTCTTTGGAACTTGTTTTGTTCATTAAGACTTTCTGTAGAATTTCATTGAATTCAGTTTGCTCACAGTGTCAGCAATACCCAGCTAACTCTGTGTATGACTATCAATTACAACAATATCTGGACTCCTAATTGTGCTCAGTATCAACCTTATCTAATTTTCAGCATCACAGCATGCACATTAATAACCTCAGAAAATTCCTAGACTTCTTGGTTTGCTAAGGAACAACTTCATCAACATTTCAGTCAACTCGGTATGTTTACTAACAAGTAGTAGCTTCATTAGTAATTTAAATAGTTTAGTCTTATCTTGATTCTTGAGTTAGAAGGCTTTATGGTTTCTATGCTGAGGCCTCACCCCATTGTACCCCAACATGTTTGTCAACAACAAGGCATCTCATTATAACCCACTGTAAAGGTTTATACATGTAATAATACTTCTTCACTTACTTGTCCATAGCATTTGTAATATAACAAGTGTCTACTTTCAAGAACATAAATTTAAGTTTTATTGTTATTTAGAATTATTTGTATTTACAGATGTTTTCCCTCTTCACAAAGTGTTCCACTTGTGGGACACACTTTTGCTTGGAAATTCTTCATTCCCATTGTTTATTGGAGTCAGCATCTTGCAGCAGTTACAAGCCAACTTGTTGTCTTTTGGATTTAATGAATGCATCTTGTTATTCTCTGATATGCCAGGTAAGGACTATTTCTAGCAACTGTTGTTTGTTATTTTTATTCCATAAAAATTAGCTGGATTATTATTATTTGGTGCTGGGAGTATTCTAGTGACTATAATAGTTTTCCTTATATTGATGTCATTATAGACTATATATCATTCCTAGAGATGCTGTCATCGTGGATCCCAGTTTCTAACTTCATGATTGATCATTGTTAGGATAACAGTGTAAAGATGTTTACAAACCTTGTGTTGTTAGGATGATACTGTAAAGATGTTTAAAAGTCCATGTTGTATAACACTGTAAAGGTGTTTACAAACCTCGTGTTGTTAGGATGATACTGTAAAGGTGTTTACAAACCTCATGTTAGAATGATACTGTAAAGATGTTTAAAAGTTTGTGTTGTATAACACTGTAAAGGTGTTTACAAACCTTGTGTTGTTAGGATGATACTGTAAAGATGTTTAAAAGTTTGTGTTGTATAATGCTGTAAAGGTGTTTACAAATCTTGTGTTGTTAGGATGATACTGTAAAGGTGTTTACAAACCTCGCGTTGTTAGGATGATACTGTCAAGATGTTTACAAACCTCGTGTTGTTAGGATAATACTGTAAAGAAGTTTACAAACCTCATGTTGTTAGGATGATACTGTAAAGATGTTTACAAACCTTATGTTGTTTGGATAATACTGTAAAGGTGTTTACAAACCTTATGTTGTTTGGATGATACTGTAAAGGTGTTTACAAACCTTGTGTTGTTAGGATGATACTGTAAAGGTGTTTACAAACCTTTGTTGTTAGGATGATACTGTAAAGATGTTTACAAACCTTATGTTGTTAGGATAATACTGTAAAGGTGTTTACAAACCTCATGTTGTTAGGATGATACTGTAAAGGTGTTTACAAACCTCATGTTGTTAGGATGATACTGTAAAAATGTGTACAAACCTCGTGTTGTTAGGATAATACCGTAAAGATGTTTACAAAACTTGTATTGTTAAGATAACACTATAAGGATGTTTAAAAAACTTGTATTGTTAGGGTAACACTGTAAGGATGCTTAAAAAAATGTCTTCTGAGGATAATAGATCATCAGTCTCAAAAATTATAAACATATGAAGGAGGAAATCTACATTCAGTCTTACAATTAAGCAAAGGTTAATTAAAAATAATAGTAGCCGCTATTAAATAATCTATACTTTTATTTAAATCATTCTTAAAATATTTTAGATAATTGAACCTTTTTTTTAGAAATAGATATCCAAAGATGTGTTCAAGATTCTATTAAACTATTCTGCTCTACTCCTAAAAGTACCACTTACAGACAGCATGAGAGACAACGAACTAAGCCTGATAATGTGTTTAAGTCATCTTCGGACTTCAAGACTACAAATCCTGACCTTGTGAGGGCTTCATGTTTGTTGCTCTTAGAAAACATTGTAAATTAATTTTTATACCAATAATGATTAGGTGGCAATTTTTTTGATAAGTGATTTCTTTGGATTTTGCTCCTTTAGCTCATTCAGTAATGGTATTATGAAATAACTTATGATTTTTATCAACCATATTTCCGATTGTTTTTTTATTTTGTGCTTGCTTTTGGATAAAGATTTTTGATTTTTCCATTGTTTTTCCTTAAAAACTTATTGCCAGAGATGTTTACTTTTCCTTGTGGTTACATGTGTAGCAACAGTTTTGGAATTAAGAATAATTGTTTTGCAACAGCTTGCAGGCCTGGTTTGTAAAGTGTGGCTAATGTGCACAGCAACATCTTGAGTAGTGGGGTTGACCTGTACAGGAACAGCTTGAGTGCCAGGTTTGAGAAGTGTGTGTGGTTGACCTGTATAGAAACAGCATCAGGATCTGTTCTACAAAATGTAGTTAGATGTTTTCAAAGCATTTCTTACTCCTTGTTTTGCTGTAATATATATTTTTTGTTTTCTTTTTCATTTCCCAAATGGCCTACTGAAGAGAAATTGTTTGACATTTCCTTCTTGTTACAGTGAGAAGTATCTGATCAAACATCACTCTGCTCTTTATCTTACAAGATATTTACTTGTTGTTATGCTAATCCTTTATTGGTCAAGCTTGTGATTGTTGGGAAAAGTATTGCTGGATTTTATCACAGCAAGTATGTTTTTGTTTCAAGGTAATATCGTAGGATATCTTATGAATACGTATAGAATTGTAATTATACTATGATAGCAGTGTAGGTTTGTATTAATTACTATTCTTATTCCAGAACTACGTATACCTGAAGCGTGTGGATTAGAGGCAGTTTTCTAACTGGATACCATATAAAAACTATTGTGTAATATTTGTCATTCTGTATAGTAATACGTACTTGCCCTGGTGCTTGTTTGAGACTATTATTTGATAGTGTTGCAGACTTTTATGTGGGGAACTTTGGAGATATAATTTCTGATGAGCATATAACTGAAGATTAATGATAGAATTTCAGATGTTATAGCCCTCCGATTGAAGCAAATAATGTCACCTAATACCATTTCAAGTCCTTATTCTAGTAGGTTATCTTGTACAAAATTCCATTAAGTTTGAAAAGTTGCTCTTTATATATTTATTATCAATACATTAACTTCCAGATTTTTTAAATACTCATTCAACTTGAAAAACCTCTCTATGCTGAATATGTAATACAATGTTATTGTGGAATGTTTTATCAGTTTTATTAAGAAGTGCACAGGTTCTTACAGAACTAAATATGTTTTCCATATTACTTGTATTCATTTCAGGAAATGTCTCCACTTCCACTGAATGTTCTTAAATCCGAGATCTCGCCCAGAATATCAGGGGAAGATCTGTTGGATCTCCTTGAATTATCTCCTCATGGTGAAAGGAAGTCTCAACCTCGATACAACAAAGTTAAAATCTTAGTTGTAGATGTGAGACCTTCTGAAGAGTATCCTTTTAACTTAGTGTAATATAGGTTTAAAATAATTTATAAGTTTGAGCAGGTCATCTCACTTCAATACCCTTTTCTGTACAACTGAAATGCATTGAACACTTCTTTAGTTGGGTTGATAACATCCTTACTAGGGTTGAATACTTCTCTAGTAGGATCGGTAACATCTTTACTGAGGTTGAATACTTTTCTAGTAGGATTGGTAACATCTTTTCTAGCAAGGTTGAAATGAATAAAAACCCTATAACCTAAGCACTTTCGAAAGTGCTCGGGTTATAGGGTTTTTATTCATTTCTATTAAGACTTCTTGAACCTACATGATCTTCTAACATCACGAATTTACTTAAGTTGAATACTTTTTTAGCAGGATTGGTATTGTCTTTACTAAGGTTGATGTCAGGGTTTTATGTATATGTGGGCTGGGATTCTTCTACAGTAGGTGTCTGACTTGTTGGTGATAAATTCGAACAATAAACTGGCAGCACACAATCCACTTGTTTTAAAATATGTTCAAAGCTTCTTTACACTATGGAATATCAGTTTTATCTAAAACTCTAAATAATTCTCTTTTCTTGTCAAAAATCCACACAGACTGATTCAATACTTTAGAATCCAATTGACAAGACGAATTATTTTTCTCTACTCTTATCACAATAGTATAAGTGAATAATTCGCTTATGTTACCCTGTGGGTTACCAAAGTTGTATCCTGAACTTTACATAATTGTCTCTTTTTCTTCAAAGTCCACACAGGCGGGTTCAATTACTTTAGAACTTCCTTTTTCAAGACAAATTATTCTCCTTATCTCTATTAAACTGTAAAACTCACTTTAAAATATTGCCCGTTACAGTTAAACTTAACACTTTCTGACTTCACTTCTTTTGTTGGTTACCACAGTTATATAGAGAGCTTTAAATAAATCTTTTTTTTTTCATCAAAAGCCTACACAGACTGATTCACTTACTTTAGAACAGAATTGAGAAGACAAATTATTTTACCTATCTCTGTTGTTACAGTATAGCTGTGAAACACACTATAGAAATCACCCATACACTGGCTAACTTCACGTTTTCTATAAGTTTTCTCTGACTGGACTTTTCTTTACTTGTACTCACTTGGTTGCCTATATTTATACATTTTCCAACTGAGACCTTGAACTTTCTACGAACTAGAAGACGTTATGGTGTAGTGAGAAAGATGACATCAAAAAATACTACAATTGAACTACGCACACACCGACATGACTCACTGAATTACATTAGGAAATTTGTCATAAGTATTACTTTTAAAATAATTAACTTTTAATACTCTTGTCATGAAAACTAAATATTTACAAAATAATAACTATTAAACTAAACAGTCTTGTATATCCAACATTTGAATACTTCTCTAGTAGGGTTGATAATGTCTTTACTTAGGAATGACCACTTCTACAGTGAGGGTGATTACTTCAGTAGTAGGCTGTATTTTATTTTACAATTTGTCATGAATACAAGTGTGTGTGTGTGTGGTTCTAACAATAGTATTGGTCATTTTATCATTCATTCATCTTTGGTATCACATACACAGTCTCTAAACATAACTAGTAAAAGCAGATAGTAATACCTTGAGGTTGCAACCAACAGTTACTTTGGAAGCACACACAACCAGGGAATAATAGTATTGTGGTTTCTTCTAACATTTTTACAGAACTGCTTCACTTCAGTAAAGGTGCCATCTTTCACCCACAAAAAATATCATAGGAGCAACCTTTTAGCATTATTCTCAGAGAACTAAGTTTTTATTGTGGTTTTCCAAGTCTTTTAAACAAGGACATATATTTTTTTCTACGATACACATTATTAATGTGAAACCGAATACTCCTTTTAAATTTTCAGTATAGACCTGTTCAGATGCTGATATTTTATGTGATAGTAAAACAAGTATAGACCAAGCTTGTCATATTAGTAATGTTCACTTGGTGGGTGTAATTAAAGGTTATAAGAACTATTAGTAGAATGAAAATCACAAGCTTGCTTCTCGTGCATATATTTAAAGTTAAATTTTCCATTTGGTTTTTCAGCCCTTAATTTATTCATTAGTTTTACCAGAGGAGCTATTCCAGATAGTATAAACATTCCATTTCAAACTGCTTTCTCACCAGATGGCACTCTTGTTTCAAGTCCTGATACGGCAACCTTGATGGGCCATAAGGGTCGTATGGTGGTGATTGTAGGAAGTAGCAAGAACAACAATGCATCTAATGTATGTTTAAAATATTGTATATACACAAATGTAATGATAAGTTATTGCCTCATTATCATCATTTGTTAAACTTAAGTCTATTAAATATTGCTTAGGTGTAAAAATAAATCTGTTACCCACATTTCATTGATACTACTAAAAACCTGAAATTCTTAAAGCTATTGATAGCTTAGCAATATTATATTAACTTTGAAATCATTTCTGGTTTAGACTCTGTTGCATCAAGTCATGTTTTCCTACTTTGACATTTTTAGATGTCTCTAGCAGCTGGTACAAACATTGTACAGAAGCTTCTTTACTTAAGATAAAAGTCTGTTGTTATAAAGTAAATTATTTTATGGTGTTGAAAACATATCTGCTATAAGCAGTGGCATAATTAGGTCTCAGAGTTCTCAAGTAGCTCATCATGCACTATTTCATAGGACTATGTGTCCAAGGTCCTTCTTTCTGGATTCACAGAAGTGTGACTTCACTTTTTTGTACAACTTATTCAAGACATTTTGATACTAAAGGTGCTTTAACCTCATCTGTCTTTTCTTTCCTCTTACAAAAGAAAGGTGATCCCTAATAGAACTCCCTTTCTTGGTAGTCTCCAAGGCAACAGCTGTCATCATTTCTTCTTTTCAACAAGCTAAGCCTACTCTAAATTAGTCCCGGAGTGCTAAAGATGAAAATTTCATATACTGTTCTTCGTATTCAAGTTTGTGCTATTCAAATGACTCACTTTTTTACGATGGTTTTTAAGCATGTGTTTCTACTACATGGATGACAGCCTATTTTGACATTTTTCAGACACAGATTTTCATCAACTGCTCATGAATCTTATACCAAACAATTTCTCAGTCTTGGTCAGGTTTTTGTGTATGTATATGGGCCAGTTTCTTTACAGTAGGTGTCTAACTTTTTGGTAATAAACTTCAAGAATAAACCGCACTTGTTTTAAAATAATATATGTTGAAACAAATTAAACGTATATACAAATGTCCATTACACAGTTATATCCAGAGCTTTAAATAATCACCTCTTCTTGTCAAAGTTCACAAAGGCTGATTCAGTTACTTTAGAGCACAATTGACAAGATGCATTATTACAATACACTCTGTGATAACTTCACTTTTGGTTATATCCAGAGCTTTAAATAATTCTATTTTTGTCAGAAGTCCACACAGGATTGTTCAATTACTTTAGAATGCAATTGAAAAGACAAATTATTTCTTCTCTTCTCAATACAACCTGTCATAATACACTTTATAATTGCCAACATGCAATCTAGATCTGTTTGACTACCTTCCTTTCTACATAACTCACTCGAACTGCATTTTGTGTGCGTATTTATAGCCTGATTGAGGACTAGAACTTTCTACACACTACAATATTATAATGTAATAATACTTAAAAAAAACAAGAAAAGCGTAGAAGGTTCTAGTAACATTATGCAATAATACAACAATTGAATGTATGATTTACACAATTATATAAACAAATCTGTGATAAACTATTGCTGATAAACAGTCTTCTTGGGGTGTTTGTGAACACTGATGTTGGTTGGGGTTGCTTCTCCCAAATGTGGTTTCATGTTCAGAAAATAGGTCATTCACATGCTGCTTATGTCCAGAGACAATCTCTCTCTCCACATGGGCTCGTTCAATTTGACCGACCATGTGAACTTATTGTACTCACATAATGTCTTTATGGATAATATACTACTAAACTTTTGATATAGTGTTTCTATCTTTACAAATTTGGCAGTCTTCAGTAAGCATAAGCCTTTCACATACTAGAAAAAGGTATATTCTTGAATATATCGAGTATTTGTTTTTAATATCTGTGCGCTAAGTGATTTTCATGTTAAGATTAAAAATACTTGTCTTCATATCTAAAACATCCTAAATATATTTTAACTGTTATTTTTCTCTATCCTAACTATATACAAGGTTGGTCAATTTGACTGACCTCGTAACCACTAAAAACATCTAAATTACCCTCCTTTTCTTTCTAGAATTTCTTCAAATTTAGCATGAAACTACATTTGTTTATCCTAAGTAGCTTTAAACTCATAACAATATACATCTATTTATAATTATATTTTATTTTATTGCCTTTTGAACTACTATTCTCAACATTATAAGTTGTAAATCACTTGGGGAACATGCAGCTCACGTTACGCTATCAAATTACATTTACCCATGAGCTGCTCACGTGCATGCCTCATGAAATATATCTATTTTTTTACATTTTAGTTACTTTTATAATAATAAATGAAAAACAATAAAGTACTTACTTGAGTATACTTTTGTATACTAATGATAGTAGTACATTAAATATTTTTTTTAAATTAAACCATTCACCAAAAAGCAGTCTAACAACATGCAAAAGTAGACAATTTCCTCTGGCTTTCTAATTATGCAATAAGAGGTGTTACAAATTCATCCAAGCTAGCCATTATGATTGCCATGGGAACCAAAGTTGTATTAGAAGTGAAATTGACAGTTTTCTGTTGTATTTACAATGTAATACAATACATCATTTAATATATAATTAAACGTAAGAGAGCATCATGTGACAGGTGGGTGTGATTTTCTATTTGATAGCTCTGTAACCAAACAAAAGGCTATAAAAATTATGGTTTGTCTAAGTAATGAATGTATAGTTTCTAGTGGGGTAGTTAATAAAATAGAGATGAAAAAATTTCACGTGTGTTACACTAGGGTAAATTCAGGATTTTTTAAAATATTACCTTATAAAATTAAGAAATTAAAACTTTTATACTATTCAAATATGCATTATTAGCTAAGATTTTATGCTATACTAATTGGTATAACATAAACAAGATTTTGAAGTAAAGGATACCCGTGTAGAGAGAGTTAAAAGGCTTTTTATTCTTTGTTCTCCACATTCACATACAATAGACTTTTGTTAAGTTAGGTCCACGAAATTTTTTGCAGTTTAGACTAAATACCTAAGTCACAGTTAATCCAAAGATTAATCTTTTAAGTAAATATATAGATATGGCTTTAACTATGATTTTCTTTGCCATCTCAATAGTGAACTTAAATTATGGGTAATTAAGCATAATGACAAGTGTATACGTTTCTTAAGATTTGTAGAGTTAGCATAATTCAGCTAATATTGTGTGTGTAATGTTTATTTCAAGAAAGACTTAAGTTAATAATGTAGTATTCTGATCTTGATAGTTACAGCATGTGTTCTTGCTCTCATTTTAGTTTGCAACTCAGCTAGTACGTCTTGGTTTTCCTAAAGTATGCACTCTGCACAAGGGAATTGACGTCTTTCGCACAATTGGGATATTAATTGTGAGAGCAGGAGAGAGATGATAACAGAACTAATTTTATGTATATTATTACAAGATGTTGTAGTGTGTTATTTTGTTGAAAAATGATCATCATATCATCAGCATCTGATAATGTTTACAGATATATCCTGACAAATTGTAACAAAGGGATTTTTTAACAGAATAGAAATCACATTAATATGCACCAGGTAATTTGATGTTCTCTTGTGAATAAATGTGCATGATAATGTTACATTTCTGGACTAAACTTATTAAAATATCATGAAGTAAAGAAAATGACAAGATGCTCTTGAGGGTGAAGGGCTAAAAAACTAATTGTGGCAGGAATTTTGTTCAAAGGAAGAGAAAAGAACGTGATAGTTGCCTACTCTTCCCAATAGGGGTGCTTCGGAACATTTGTGAAAATAATTAGCTACGGTGACTATAATTGCATTTAGGAATGTTGACGGGACATTTTCAAGAGAAAGCTGTGATGAAGGTTGAAAAGCTGGAGAAAGTTGAGACATTTAAATAACTTGGATGAGTGAGTCAAAATGTCAATGAAAGAATAAACGAAGCAAGAAGATGTCAATACAGCTAAAAGGGGAGATTTATAAGGCAGTGATAATACGAATCATGTTGTATGGGGCTGAAGTTTAAGAAAAAGGAGCAGTGGATGACAAGGGTGTCAATGAAAAGTAATACCAATTATGGAAGAGAGTAATAAATATGGCAGTGGAAGAGAAAAGGACCAAAGAAGTGGTGAATGAGGATCTGTGGTGTAATGACACCACACAGCTGCAACAAGAATATTGTAATTATCTTCCATCAGATTTAGTTCATATTCTCGTATCTAGAAGAAAATTAACAGCAGATGTGGGTGCTCAAACCCTTAACTCCTACAACTAAATCAACCATTCACTATACACAGCAAGTTGTGAGAAAAGAAAGGTGCTCAAACCCTTAACTCCTACAACTAAATCAACCATTCACTATACACAGCAAGTTGTGAGAAAAGAAAATGAAATTTAATTACTTAAAACCCTTATTATATACAGACTACAACCAGCTAAAAAGCTTCTCTTAAAGTTTATACTTTTAAACATGCATTACCTGGCAGTGTATGTCAGGGTAAACTAAGTTTACCAACTTCTTTTTCTATTACTGCACCACTGATACAGTCCTATTGATGCTCATCTGATACAGTGTTTGTATATTTGATAATACAAAAATTTCACAAGTACATGATGGTTCTTTTAATTATAAACTATAAATAAATTCACTTAAAACTTTTCAATGTTGTCTCATCATCATCGTGTAATTTTAAAAATATTGGAATATTTAAAATAAAATAGTCATCAAAGCTTTGCTTTCTGCGAGTTCAAACCAGCAATCATGTCTTCTGCTTCTTCTTGAAGGATTTCAGCTTTTTCAACCAGCAACATCTAGGAAGTCAAATTATCTTAATAATTACATTTTCTTATAGTCAACAGAATGCTAATGTAGTTACTAATAATAGTTACTGTTGAAACATTTTACATATGTTGTGATATTAGAAAATTAGTGGTTACAGTTTTCATTAATACTGGTATACAAGATAACTTATTCCGTGATAGTTATGGAGTAACTACACTTTCAAGTGGTATACAAGATAA